GAGTTCTTCTTACTCGCCGTTCGAGTTTGCTCCTTCGACGATATTACCTTCCTGTTCTGTTGGATCGGAAGTTACGACATTTTTTTTGATCTGAAGCAACAACGGGAGCTCGCTTGCTGTGAAGGTAACTTTCTCCTTTCGCGCGCTTCTTCGAGCAAATCCCGTAAATCCGCCGAACCAAAGGATTTCGTAAATCCGGGATTTACCACGAAAAGAGGGAATTTTCCGTCAACCGCGGCTTTGATTTACCGTGAGATTTGTGCATTTTAGGCCGTTTGGCTGGATTTCGCCCAAATCCGGCCTAAATCCGCATACCAAACAGCCCCTTAATAATCTCTAGTGGACTACAGCCAAACCGGCGGATAACCCAAACCGAAACCGAATATAGAGAAATAAAGTTTTGAAAGAACAATCGGTCCATTAGGTATTTTTTTGTTCTGGGTCGTGAGGAGTTTGCGTGCCGTGCGTGACCTAGGCTTCTCCCCTCTTCGGCTCTTCGTCGTCTTCCGTTCTTCATGCGACAGGCGAATCGGCGGGTAGAGAGACAACCGTTGTTCAGTCGTTTGGCCGTCGGGAGTCTGGTCACGGTAGTGGCTAGCTAGCTTGGTGCTCCGGTCGTTTGGCAGTTGGGATTTTTTATCTCTGTTGTATGATCTTATTTCTATTCAACATTTCTTGTTTTGTTTTGTTTTCTTCTGTTCTTCATGTGAGGTGACTCTTTATTCAACTTTTTTTTTTTAATTTTTCTTCAGATCTATAATATCTGTTTAGGAGAATTGATCTTGAAAGTTCAGGTTTGAAATGCATTTGTTATAGATCTGAAGAAAAATAAAGTTAGCACATATTATATCAAAAAAGTTAATAGGTAATACTTAAATTATATTTATGATATAACTTAGATTAAATATGAATTAAATAAGAATTAATTAGATTAATTATAGTTAATACAAAGGAAGCACATTTTAATATTTTACTATAAATGCCTTTCTCACATCCAACAATGAAAAATTCTTGTAGTGACGTTTTTGCAATGTAAAAAAGAACAATTCATTGGATGATAATAGACAATAGTGGGAGTGGAGTTAAAAACATGCAAGATATTCAATTGATAATTTCTACAACCATTATTCTCCTTATATTACATATCCACAATCACCTAAACATGCATCGTTGATCTTCTTCCTAGATCACAAGTACTTTCATTTTTTCCTCAAAGAAACAGTTTAATCAATATTTTATTAGAAAGTCAAAACTTCCTCATAAAACACCAAAAAAATATTTAAACAGAAATAAACAGCTCATTGTTCTTTCACATAACCATAAAAAATATCAATTCCATTTTGTCGGCCTGCTTGTATCTCCAAAAATTATGGATGTGAAACCTAGGGCATGTCCTTCTCACACGCAATCAATCAAAACACAAACAATTTGCAAAATTAACAATACCTAGAGGCGAGCCCATAACGGGGCTAAGAAACTGTGATGTGTTCCTCTAAGGAATAGTTTCTCCAACATCCTTGCATAAATTCATGGTAGATCAACGTATATCACCGGTGTCGGCGAAGTGGAACACTCTGACGAACTCTGCTGACCGATTGATGGTGTGGAAACAACAAAGAAATGATAGCTCTGCTCTGAATCCCAAATTTTCGCAAGAAATTATCCGGATCAATCAGAACTGAAAAATATGATTGATTTCTTTTTCATTATTTTGATAGGTGACGGTGGGAAATTTGATTAAAATGGCGTTGCGTGTGACGCGCTGATACGAAACGACTGTACAAACGATATAAATGTACTGAGAATTGCGCAACCTAACTCCATGGGGTTGACTCCAGTCCGGGTTGACATTCTCCTTTGTTTGAAAATTTATTTTAATAAAACATATATGCATATTTTAAGTAATTTTTTATTTTAATAAAGCATATATATTTGCATTATTTTTATGCATGATGATGGAAAATTCGATTAAAACAGCGTTGCGTGTGACGCGTTTGCTGCATTCTCTCTTCCCTAGAGGAGAGGACGTGCAGCCATGTGCTCGGGCTGTCCGCCGAGCAACTGGATGTCCAGCGTTGATACGAAACGACTATACAAGCGATATAAATGTGCTGAGAATTGTGCAACCTAACTCCATGGGGTCGACTCCAGTCCGGGTTGACATTCCCCTTTGTTTGAAAATTTATTTTAATAAAATATAAATGAATGTTTTAAGTAATTTTTATTTTTTAAAATAAAAATACAAAAATTTGATTAAAAAAATAAATAAACGTCATTTATATTTAATTGGCATAATTTAGTAGGTAAATTATAATTATTCAATTATGTGATAATTATCCTAATTAAATCTCATTTAATTCATAATTAATCTAAGTTATATCATAAATATAATTTAAGTATTAACTATTAACTTATTTGATATAATATATGCTTCATTTGTATAATTAAGTTTATATTGAGAATGAAAAGTAAACACCACAATGACGAAACAAGAAAGAAAATAAAAGACATTAGGATTTAATGAAAAAAATTCAAGTATCTCTCACTTTCCCTAGAAACATAAATTTGAAGATGCTAACAACACTAATTAAAAAAACTTCTAAAAATGAAGAAAAAATTCCATGAAATTTACTAAATTGTACTGGCAAGAAGCTTGGACAACAACCCTTCTAAACTTGTCAGCACGATGCATACAAATTCCAGGATTTTGGCCAAAACAATGCATAATAAATGGTATTTTGTAAAATTAATTATTCTATCAGTAAATGGTTGTTATTTGTTGATCACCGTCTTTAATAGTAATTTACTTAAACAAAGCTAAATTGTCTATAACAAATGTATTTTTATAGTGGATTTTTGGTGTCGTGTGACTCCATGGGTTTTTCCATATTTTAATTTTTTTTTTTCCGTTAAATCCTAATTTCTTTTACTTTCAGCTACATTTACTTTCTTGCTTGTTTCGCTATTGTGGTGTTTACTTCTCATTCTAAATATAAACTTAATTATACAAAGGAAGCATATATTATATCAAAGAAGTTAATATTTAATACTTAAATTATATTTATGATATAACTTAGATTAATTATGAATTAAATGAGATTTAATTAACATAATTATCACATAATTGAATTATTATGGTTTACCTACTAAATTATGCCAATTAAATATAAATGATATTTGTTTATTTCTTATTCTCATTAAATTTTTGTATTAAAAAAATAAAAAATTACTTAAAACATTTATATATGTTTTATTAAATTAAATTTTCAAACAAAGGGGAATGTCAACCCGGACTGGAGTCGATCCCGTGGAGTTAGGTTGCGCAATTCTTGGCACACTTATATCGCTTGTACATCCGTTTCGTATTAGCGTGTCACATGCAACGCCGTTTTAATCCAACTTTCCACCTTCACACATCAAAATAATGCAAAAGAAATCAATCATATTTTCCAGTTCTGATTGATTCAAAGAATTTCTTGCGAAGATTTGAGATTCGGAGCAGAGCTGTCATTTATTCGTTGTTTCCACACCACCAATCGGTCGGCAGAGTTCGCCGGAGTGTTCCACTTCGCCGACGCCGGTGAGATACGCCAATCTACCATAGATTTAGGCGAGGCTTTTGGAGAAACTGTTCCTTAGAGGAACACATCACAATTTCCTAGTCCCGTCGCGGGCTCGCCTTTAAGTATGGTTACTTTTGCAAATTATTTGTGTTTTGGTGGGTTGCGTGTGAGAAAGACATGCCCTAGGTTTCACATCCATGACTTTTGGAGATACAAGAAGGCCGGCAGAATGGAATTGATATTTTTGATGGTTATGTGAAAGAACAAAGATCTGCCTATTTCTGTTTGAATATTTTTTGGTACTTTATGGGAAAGTTTTGGCTTTCTGATACGTCATTTTGTAATAAAATATTGTTCAAACTGTTTCCTTGGGGAAAAAATGAAAGAACTTTGATATAGGAAGAAGATCAATGATGACTGTTTAGATGATTGTGGATATGTAATATAAGGAGAATAATGGCTATAGAAATTCTCAATTGAATATCTTGCGTGTATTTAACTCCACTCCCACTATTGTCTGTTACCACCCAATGAATTGTTCTTTTTTACATTGCAAAAAACGTCACTACAAGAATTTTTTCATGGTAGGCTGCGAGAAAGGGGAAAAAAACTGTTTTGAAGTCTCGATTGGTATTTTTATTGATATTTGTACTTTTAGGCTTGAATAATGATATATAGAAACAATGTGTTTGGCTAGCCTGTGAACTTGCCGTAGTGACCCCAGGAGATGAAACTATAATTGGAATGCTTGTTGCTGAAGGACACAGCACCGGATGGTAAACACAAACCTTCAGAGCGTAGGATGTCATGTCACAGCCCAAATATTGCTTTATACTCTAGCTCTACTTCTTACATGAAGCCTATTTGTCATGAATTAAGAAGTTTGACCTGTGGTATATGATATATATATAAAAAAAAAGATGTTGGGAATTAACCAGGTTACAAGTTGGTGAATGTCAAACCAGGGATAGTCAGCCACTGTGGTTTTTATGATTTAAATGAAGAACTTTTGGTGAATCTAGTTTTGCCATTATGTTGATAGCATTGTGAAACTAAAATCTAAAGCTTTGAAATCACAGATTTAATGTTTTCTAATGCCACAGAAGTTACTACCATATTGTAACTACGTTGACTCTAGCATATTGTAGTCAGGATGCAGTATGGGCTGCTGCTCATCCATTACCATCTAGATTTTAATTGATGATGTTTTTTTTTTCTACATATTCTACCTTAATAGACGTTGCATACATCCATCGGTTATGTTACCAACTTTTTATTGTCTGTGCATGCATCTCTAGGTGATGACGAGCTTACCTGAGAGAGCTGTGAATTCAAACTTTCCTGCAGGACAATCAAGTGACCCAGTGGATACACAGGCAGTTGGTTCAAAGACGGAGCAAGCAGCTAGTCACAACAGGTCTCCAAAGGCTTCCTTGTTGTTAACTCTATTCTCTTCCACCTTTCCCATCTTTGAGACACTCTCCAACCCATCCTCAGCTGATAAGAAGGAAATTAAACCTAGAAACTATGGATTGACGACTGCCGTTAAGAGAGTTATGACTGGAGGCATGATGAGGAGACTTCAGGAGCATTTCCTAGGTACAAGTAAGGCTGACTTTTCAAGCTTGACCAATGAAATGTGGCTCTTGGGTTCTTTCTACAAAGTTTCATCAGGAGAATCATCTACTGATATAAATACTAATAGTGGATTAGCTGCATTTTTAGAAGATTTTTCATCAAAGATTTGGATCACATATCGGAAAGGTTAGTTCTTCCTTGATTATTATCATAAAAACTTGTGTAGCCAATTCTACCTTACTTGAATGTTTTTTTCCTTTGAGTTGGCGTGTTAATCCCCATTGTAATGCCTGCAGGTTTTGATGCCATTGGTGACTCAAGGTTCACTAGTGATGTCAATTGGGGCTGCATGATTAGAAGCAGTCAGATGCTCGTTGCCCAGGTGTAGTGCTCTGTACAGCATGATATCACTAATGTACACTTTTGTTTCTTAAATTGACTTCATTATAAAATATATTTTAGGCACTGGTATTCCATCACTTGGGGAGATCCTGGAGAAAGCCACAACAAAAGGTGAGAGGGATCATCCATTATACATTTATACGCTCCCGTGCCCGCGCATATATATATATATATATATATATATATATATCTTCATGCTATAGATAATTAATTCAGCCAGTGATGAAGCTCCTCATATTTGCAACATATGGATTGTTAATGATGGTACCCTCTTAATTATGCAGCCATATGATCGAGAATATGTTGGCATATTATATCTTTTTGGTGATTCTGAGGCATGCCCATATTCTATTCACAATTTAATTCAAGCAGGAATGGGCTATGGTCTATCTGCTGGATCATGGGTGGGTCCATATGCCATGTGCCGCACGTGGGAAACTCTTGTTCGTGCTAACAGAGACAATGGTGATCACAGTCAAGGAAGAACAACTTTGCCTATGGTTTTGTACATTGTTTCCGGTGATGAAGATGGGGAACGAGGAGGTGCTCCAGTTGTTTGCCTGGATGTTGCATCTAGGCTTTCTTCTGAATGTATTATTGGTCACTCCAATGGGGCACCACTTCTATTGTTAGTTCCTCTGGTCTTGGGATTAGAAAAGATAAACCCCAGGTAAGTTTTGGTACCTGCTATTTCTGGTCAAAATTTTGCGTTATATGGTATATATGCATTTCCCTCTTATTACTTGGTTGACATATTTAGTTCAACTTTATTGCCTGGAGAAATTAGTGCAATCTTGAGTTTCATATCAACTTTTTTAGATATTCACTTCAGCTTTATCGCTTGGAGAAATTAGCACAAATGCACTTCTTCGTTGCATATCTTGAGTTTCACATTAACTTGTTGATGAAGTTTTTTTTTTGTTCAATAAATGCTTAATCATTTAGTAAGGGTAGCAATGATAAAAAGGGAATTTATCTAAATATTATAGCTTCCTTCTACCTTGAAGCATGCTGAAGGTTTACCTTTTATAATATAAATGTTTCTCAGCTATCAGTTCTAAGTGCATTAAACGGTTATTACAACTATTGGAATTTGCACAACTATGAAGTAAACTTTAGGAGATTGTCAGAGAATGCCATTTGCGCCTTCTGGGTTTGTTAAATGATCATCAAATAACCAAAAATCCAAAAATAGTTGCAATATGCATGGTTGAGGAGGGAACAACAAAGAGAGGATGAAAGAGAGAAGCTTCAAGTTTTTAACTTGAGCGATCAACAATTACAACTTGGATCATGAGAGAGCACTCATGATATGCATTAGGGGTAATTTCATTCAATCAATCATATGTAGGGCTGCAAATGAACCGAGCATTCGACAAGCTACTCGTGGCTCGGCTTGATAAGAGCTCGTTTATGTTCGTTTGATAAGGTAAATGAACAAGTTTGAACAATTTCGACAATACTTGATAGCTAAATAAACAATCTTGAACAACCTGACATTCGGCTCGTTTATGTTCATGAACAATATATAAAGCTCGTGAATATGCTCGTTAAGAAGCTCGATTAGATTTTAAAAAATAATTGTTATTAAAATTATTAATTTAATAAGTTATATTTACTAATTTAATTAATTGAATTTACTAATTTTAAAATAAAAAATAGGTTTAAAAAGACCTGCTCACATTTCCAATAGTCTGGCTCACGTTTAAAAATAAATATTAATTGGGTTTTTTATGTTCACATTTCTAAAATAGGTTCTCCCGCTCCTACAGTTTCCAAAAAAAAAAAAAAAGTTCCTGCTCACGTTTTCCCACCCGCTCGTATTCATGCATTAGTCCCACACAGCGAAAAGATTATTTGTTTCACTCTATAAAATGAAAAAAAAACAAACAAAACGTTCGAGCCGGAGCGGAAGTGGGAGGGCCGGGCGAGTGGGTGGATTCTACCACTTCTTGTTTGCAAGCTTACTCGACTTTTCCTTAATGAGTGGCTCGATAAGGTCTAGTAAACGAGCTCGATTTTGAACATGAACCGAGCTCGAGCATGCTTTTTTTAAACTAGCTTGAGTTCGAACAAATGTTCAAAATGTTTGTTTCTTACCGAACCGAGAGCTCGAACAGATGCCTAGCAAACGAGCTCGAACTCGAACAAGCTAAAGCTCGGCTCAGCTCAGTTCATTTGCAACCCTAATCATATGTAGTCAATGACCTAAATATAAGGCAGTTATTATCTTGATAAGGCAATACATGTTCTATGTTTAAAACAAAACTTATAAGCATACTTAATCTTTTAATGGAATGGACTACATGCATTTTTATTTAATTTCTTTTATCTTGTGTAAAATGTTTAGGATATGTACTAACATATTAGATTTAACATGTTTAATATTTTATTTATAAGTAATAGGGACATATTATTCCATGCCGCCCTAACTAATGCATTGGAACCTTAATCTTATGTGAAAGTCTTGATTTTGCATTAAACTTAATTTTAATTAGATTACAATATTATTCCTGCTACATCTCCTCGTTCCCTGATTCTCTCTCCACTCCCTCCTAGTTCTCTCATTTCTCCTCCCCTAATTTCTCTCCTTTGTTCCTTTAGTTCTTCTCTTTCTTTGTCTCCTCTAGCATTCCATTTTGGAGTTTATCATAATTGAATATATTATAAAAATCTAATAAAATATGAAAAATTATGCCAAAAATAATCATTGGCCTAAAGATGCCTAAAAATTGATATGCTCACCTTTTGTAGTTGGATTTCTCTTCTCATGACTGGTCTAATAGTAATTTAGGTTTTTTGGCCTAATTTGACTTGAGTAGTTGAGTTGAATGCACCTTTTTATATCTTGAATTTATTATAAATGCGACTAAATATGCATGAGAGAGTTTGCTCAATCTGGTTTAAACATATACGATGTTTCATTATGTTGATTGGTTTATTTGAAGTTAGAGGGAATTGAGGGGCACTATGATAAGAACAAGAATAAGTATTGCTTATTTACAATCAACTAAATGAAAGGAGAAAAATCAAAGGATAGAGGAAATGCTATAAGTTATTGTATGTTGAAAATATTAGCAAATAAAGTTAAGCTGGCAGTGGATAACAACTTAAAATATAAAATTATTGAGGTTAATACTGATAGTGATTGTGATTGCTATTAAGATAATTATCCTCTGGGACATAATTAATGTGGTTAATGCTTATATACTTCTCAAGTTGTTTTAGAAGATAGTTTAAAAAAATTATTTTGGGAAATGATGGATCAACTACCTTAATGATAATATTGGAGGTAATTTAACTGGGTATATATGTTCAAGTAGGATGGGCTATGAAAGGATTTATGGTTGAGGAGATAAAATATTATGGTAGAAGCTATACTTAATTTCATAGTGGTCTATGATCTTGCAATAGTGAATACATACTTAAAGAAATAAGGTTACTTACAAAAGTAAATGCACTAATTTCTAAATAGTTTTTTTCTTTACTTGGAAGGAAAATCTTTTTGCAAAGATGATAAGTTGATTTCAGGAGAATACATACACATAATATAGGCTAATAGTTATGGATATATATGTTAAGAATATAAAGAAAACAATTAAAATAAATGGTTGTTTGGATAAGATGGCGAAATTTGAAAGATAAGAAAATATTAATATTTCAAGATATATTATTAAAAGAGGCAAATAGGAGTTTTTTTAATTATGCCAAACTTAATGTGGGGTAAGATTGCTAGTTATGTTAAGAGGATTAGTGTATAAGCCTTAAAAGAGTATATAAATAGATAATATATAATGATATTTAGTGGTGGAATGAGGAGGTATCAAGGGGCGACAAAAATTGAATACTACTGAGGTTTATAATGTTTTAAAGATAATTCTTTTTCTTCAAAGATAGTTGCAAGTTAAGCAAAACCTACAGCTTTTGATGATATATACAATATGCTTGATAGTAAGACAAGTACAAAGTATATATATAAAATAGCCAAGGTAAGAAATAACAGATCTATTGATTTTGATCAAGTTAGATGCGATAAAATGAAGATAATTAGACAGATGAAAATATGCTAATTTGATAAATTATTAAATGAGAGTTTGAATGAATAAATTATTTTGGTTGGTCATAATAAATGATATGATAAAATATATATTATAGATTGACCCAAAAAATATAAAATGCTGTTCACTCTAAAAATGATGTATATTAAGCTTTATATCAAGATGCCATAACTATTGAATTTTGGAATGATATAGGGGAGATTGTGGCGATTTGATTAAGAAATTAAGAAATTCTTTCAAGTGAATTTTGAATACTAAGATGATGCTAAATGATTTGGAGAAGAGGCATTTGGATACTGATATTTAAGAATGAAGGCGATGCTTAAAATTAATTTAACAATGGAGGAATCAAACTCTAAAGTCATGTAATGAAGTTATGATAGAGAAAATAATGGAACATCGACTTAGAAAAATTATAACAATTTTGGAAAATTAATTTAATTTCTTGTCAGGAAGATCTACTTGAAAGTGATTTTTGTGTTAATTAATTGAGAAGTGTAGACAACAAAACAAATGATCTTCATATAATTTTTATTGATATTAAGAAGAGGATATGATTGAGTACTATGATAGTTGATTTGGTATATTTTATGACAGACATGCATAAAAGATATGTTGACATTATTAAACATACGTGTGATGAAGTACTAATTAATATTAGAAATAGTTGTGGGGTAATCCAAGAATGTCTAATTACCATATATTTATATTAAGAACAAACATTGAATAGTGCATGTTGACAATATGAAAAATTTAAAATCTTAAATGTTCTTCAAACAACAAATGATTTAGATTCGTTCACAATGCGTATGGTACTCACTCTTAAGCTTATTATAGATGTAATAACAAATATTCCAATTCACTTTGAATATAATTGTTTTGTGCATTTGTATATGTTTACACAGATTAACATTGAGAAAAAGGTGTTTGGACTGGCTTAACAAATTACTTTGACGACCACAACTCACTAAACATCACTAAACAATGAATAAACACTAATTACAGTAAACTATAGGGCCCAAATAATGTTTAGAACAACAGAACATTTCAGTCACTTTGGATTCTAGATTCCAGTATTGCCATTTCAAGCTTTTGACAAGGTTATCGAGGATTTGAATCTGCTTTCTGATGAGGAAGGTTTCCTGATTCAAGATAATGCTGTTTCCCTTCCTGAGTCCCATTCCCGAGAGGAGATTTGGCTGGAAAATACCACTTTTTGATAAAGGAGGTTTTTTTGCTTCTATAGATGCCATTTAAAGTTACTCTTCACAGGAACTTCAACTGGAATTTTGCCATCTAGTTCCTAAATTTTAACAAGAAGAGTTCTCTTAACCATGGATAAGCATGATGATAGGATTTTGTTCTGTCAGTGAAACCTCGTAAATTCTCTAGAATCCAATTGAATTTGTTTAGATGATATCACTCTCTCCGTATAAGGTTGGATAATAGCAGGAAGACCAAGAAATAGCCTATTAGATCTTCTTCCTTGGGAGAAAACAATTGCCTGAGCTCTTGATAACCAATATGAGGCACTTCTGATCAGGTCTAAAGTTCTCACAACAAAATTTTACTGCAGCCATCCTAGACTGTATTTAGAGATAGGTTTCCAAGT